ACACACACACACACACACACACACACTCATGTGCGCACATACATTCTGTCTCTCTTGTCCTTCTCTCTCTCCCTCCCTCTCTCTCTTCCTCTCTCTCACTCATTCACTCTCTCACTCTCCCTGCTCTCTTTCTTTCTGAGAATTACTTATTGTGTATGTTTTAATTTATTTTTTTTTCAACTGAAAGGCCTTGAATTCTTTCTCTCTTTGGTAAATGGAAAAAAAAAGAAGAAAAATAGGCGGAGATAGACACACAGTAACTTTTAGAATTTGGAACAGTTAAGTGGTGCTCTGGTGTGGTTTGCTCCTTATTGTTTATCAAACAACTAGCGTCCTTATCTCTCCTCCTCCTTTTTGTGTTTGTTACTCTCTTGTAACACCTCTAATCTTCGGGGGCTCTCATGCCCTAGAGGTTAAGGTTTTCGCCTCTCATTCAGAGGTCTTGGGTTCGAATCAGGGTAGCGACGGAAACATTGTCTTCTCTAGAATTGTCTCCATTTCACCTCCTTTCCTGCTCTCTAGCAATGTTCTGTCGTCTACTTTCGTCTCCACTTTCTGCTCCCGCCCCTCACCTCCTGACTCTCTCTCTGCAGCCTTCCTACTGCTTCTCCTTGGCTCGTTCTCACTGCTGTCTTTCAGCCACGCCCCTGATCTTCTGGTTGGAAAGATCTACACCTAGTCTTCTCGGACAAGGGCGAATGATCTTGGTCGTCTAAAATTGATAAGAGTAGGCTTCGTGGGGGGTTTTTTTCGGGCAAAATTCAACATTTCCTGACTACTGAACGTCTTGGAGTGTACCGCGCACTCATATACCGGTACCTTATGCAGTTGCGAGCGTAAAACACTTGCCAAAGAAAAAAAAAAACCAACCTCAAAAACCTCTAATCTTTGGCACTTATATAAGTGTTACAAGTGCCGTAAAACTCTTACTAAAACTAAGATAAGTGACGGGAAAAGACCTGGATGATATACAGCTGTATATTATGGTTTTTTGAGGTTCCCACCTGAGAAATGAGTGATGATCAAAATCACGGTCCTATAAATAGTTCCATCGCCACAACCAGGCAGGCACAGGAACAATCAGTGTGGATACCTTGCGGGCTTTGGTGCTGGGGGGAACTCAGCACTTATGGACCTGTCCGGTGTGCAATGACGTTGTTGCCCAGGACAGGTAATACAGGCAATAGTAATACAGGTAATATAAATAGTACGTCGTTCGAAGAAGGCAGCAACTTTGTCGTTCGAAGGACCCGG